TAAGTAAATAGGCCACCACCATGATTTAATTCTACACTTTCATCACTCCAAAAAGAAATCCATAGCCACTAACAATCTTTTAATAAAGTTTCATAAATAATAGCTTGAATGAAAATGTAAGAAATTCTAGAGAACCTCTTAATCCAAACTAGCTTGATGATCCTAACTGCACAAAATTTTTTTCCAGAGATGTCTTCCCTAGAGTATTTTAACTTTATTTTCTCTTTAAAATCAGCTACATTTACATCTCTCATATATTTTAAATATAAATATTTAATTTTTTAAAATTACTATTGCAAAGCAAAGGCCATTTGGGAATTGAATTTTCAGTCTACAGATCACAGCAAGATCATTACATTAAAAGCCACAAAGTATTACGGCAGGGAAGAAATCTCATAATTCAAAACTATCAGTAACTGAGGAGAGTATGACATACAATCTGCTTTGCACTTTAAAGAAAATTCTTGATCCGAGGCCAAAAAGTAAATTCCAATAATAAAGACCAGCGCTTCAAAATTAACAAATACACACTTTCAAAATGGCAAAGAGTAGCAGGGACCAAAAATCTATTGTAGGTAGATAATATGATAGCAAGCCTAACTACTGTTGCTCATTTTTGAAGATTACAAAGAAAACTATATTCAAAACTGTAATGATATGCTCATTTTGTTCACCAAAAAAGCAAGAGAGGTCTTATTTCCGAGAGTAAGGAGTTACTGCATAAGGTCTTATTTCAGCGCTGCCTTTGGAGAAATGGTTATTGAAGCTACAAACCTTAATGGGATAAATAAGAAACTCATGTCAAGGGTAAAATGTTCTAGCACAAAAATCGTATTTTCTACATATGACAGAAAGGACCCTGGCTTTACTTTGCTGTGCTGGAAGAAACCATTTTGCCAAATCGAAGAAACCTAGAAAACAGTCATTTTAATTATCATCCCTCTTCCCATAAAAAAGTGAAGTAAAATTCTGACTGAAGACAAACAAGTACCCAGAGAGCTTCCAAGTACACCTAGCTGCCCAGCCAGTTTTTATTTTTACCCTCCTCTTTCCCATGCTTGCTCTGTGTGGGACCCAGCTGCGCTCTGCCAATCTGGGTCACTTAGCATAGAGGATCAGTGGGCGACAGCCGCTGTATCCACTTTTAGAAGGGCCCCGCATGCCTGGAGAGTGCTCAGCTACAGAGCTGTGCATTCCCTGGATCTGAGTGTCCAGTGAATGGCAACCTCACGCTTTGGCTGTTCCTAGGCAAATTTCAGACTCCAAAAAATACACCCTTACCTGAAAAAGGAACATGAAAAGAAATGGAGAAACAAATCAGATGCTGGCATTGGGTAACACTTCTATTTCTAACATTTTTCAAAAGTTACCAGCTTCTCTGCCACTCCACCATTGTTAGACTACCTGCTCCAATTGTGTAAACCAATCCAATAACGCCAACCCCCTTTTATGATTATAAATAAAAAACATAAAGCTGCTATTTTATCATTCAATATAAAATAAATTCCTATATATACTGGGAAGAAAAAAGGAGTTGAATCACCCAAGGTAGACATTTTTAATCTTTTTAATCAACAGTTGAAATTAATCTGGTTCATTCAACCACATTTTTATACCTAGTAGAAACAGTTAGGTTCTGGGTTGGGTACTTGACATCCAATGACACCTCTAAAAATGACATTTTCTAATCTTACAAAAACAGGAATAAAGTCGAGCGTGGTGGTGCACACCTATAAACCCAACATGCCAGATGCTGAGGCAGAAGTACCAAGAGCTCAAGGCCAGCCTGGGTGACACAGTGAGACTCTGTCTCAAAAAACAAAATAAAAGGAATAAAACTATTGATTCATGCCTTTTTATGGTTACCTCTAAGAAACAGTCACTGTTCTGAGTTTTTTACTTTATTTTCTTTCTTTCTTTACCACCCACATTTGGGTCCCTATATGTTATCACATTTTAATTTAAATGTTAGTAATAACTCTTGCTGGTCACTGCTGGCTCACAGCGGTAATCCTAGTGTCTCAGGAGACAGCAATCAGGAGGATCACGGGTCAAGGCCAGCCCAGGCAAATTGTTCACAAGACCCTATCTTGAAAATACCCAACACAGGTGCCTCATGTGGCACAGTGCCTGCCTAGCAAGCATAACGACCTGAGTTCAAACCCCAGTACCACAATTAATTAATTAATTAACAAACGAGTCTTGGTAGCCTCCTTGGCATCACTTCTCCATTCTTCTACAAAAACCTACCTAGATTTTCCTTTAAAATCTACCTATTTGTGAGACAGACCAGACTAGAGTCTGATTGGCTTGGGCTAACCAGCTCATCCACTACTCAGCACTCATGAAGGAGGGATTTGTCTCCTTTCTCTGCCCATGGTGTAATGAGAATATGAGGACTGGACGGACCCTATCCCTGTCCCTGCCAGCACTTGGTGGAAAAGCCTGAACCTTCTGGGGTGGAGTAGGGTAGGTGAGAGACATTACAGAAAGCCAGAGCATCAAGTCACACTGAACACAGCACAGTGGAACAGCTGAGAGAATCAGTCCTCTCTGATTATCACTGAGTGGCCAAGTTAGCCTTCCTGAGGAGGAAGGAGTGCCACCTCCAGACCGTCAGTGAGCTGGTGAACTATTTAGTTCTCTATAACCAGTTTGCTTCAGATTTTTGTTGCTTGAGACCATAAACAGACTAACAGAAACACGCCAAATATTTTTCTAATAAAAAAATGACTAAAGCCAGGGACGGTGATACACATCTATAATCACAGCACTCCCAAGGCTGAGGCCAGGAGGATCAAGAGTTTAATAAGGGCTGGTGGAGTGGCTTAAGAGGTAGAGTGCCTGCCTAGCAAGCACAAGGTCCTGAGTTCAAACTCCAGTACCACCAAAAAAAAAAAAAAAAGTCAGTAGCCTATCATGTCAGAGCACCCCAGGGTGCCTCAGGCTACTTGGAGCCAGATTCCCCACGTGCATGAAAACCTGCAACATTGTGACCACAGCACTAACGGAAACAAGAACACTGAAAATTACTAGCACAGAAAAAATATGTATTAATAAAAAAAAGATGGTTTCTAATTCCTACTATGCAAGAAATGTGGGATTCTACCAAGAAAATATAATGGGGGTCAGGGATGGCAAGGATGCATGATGGCCGGTGTGCAGGAAGACTGGGGTGCTCCATTTGGAGGAAAGAGGAAATGCAGCCCAGATCTGGAGAAACCAGAAATTTAAGGACTACAAAGCCAAATGGAGCCTGGAGAAATGACTTGCCATGTTCACCTCCCCTTAGCCTCTTTTGCTTCCCACTATGCTATTTGGTGATGCAAAACACTAAAGTGCTAATAAAAATCTCACATGAGGGCTGGAGGGGGTAGCTCAATGGTAGGGAGCTTGCTAGCCTGTGCACGGCCCCCAAAATGACAATAAGCTCGCATGAGCCACTATAACTAGCACCTGACAAAGCATCTCCCTCTATGTCCCAACTGCATAGGTGGCGATTCCCATTACAGGAACATAAGTCATAGCAGCGCCATTCATTCAGAACCGCAGGACCAGTATGGGGTGGGTAGAGCCACAGTCAGGAGCTGCCTGGGCAACCAAGAGAAAGGAGCACTGTGAGGGCCCCCTGTGGGGCTCAGGAGCCACACTGAATCAGAGTCCTAACCAGCCTGCCCACCTGCCTCAACAGGAATGGAACTTACTGGAACAGGCCCAGTAGAGAACCTTGAACTGGGACAGATATCTGTGTGACAAGGACTAACCAGGATGCCACATGCAGAGAACCTAGCAGTGCCTGGCAGGCAGACATGTTGATTCCACACGTTTTTCTTCCCTTTGTTAATAATCATTTCAGTTCTGGGTCTCAGTGTCCAGGACTCTGAATCCACAGGCCAAGTCAGGGCCCAGCCAAGGAAGGAGGAAAAGGCTGGGGAGAGGGATGCAATGGGGAGAGGGATGGGAAGGGGAGAGGGGTAAAAGAGCTCCACCCGTGGGCAACAGAGCATTCTGCACCTGTAAGGGCTTTTCATTAGATCCTAACCACTCTCCTGACGCGTGTATCTTTTTAAAAACACTGAAAGGGCTCCAGTTGCAGAGAATGTGCTGCCAGATCGGCAGACCGTTTCCTAGCAACCAGCAGTGCTGTGCGCAGAGAAGATGCTCAGTAAACAGCATCTCGCACAGTAAGGGAAGCAGCGGGAGGGGCAGGACCGCTGCCGGGTTTGATGGGGAGCTGGGATCAGGATCTTCTCAGGACTTTTGCTTTTACTTTTAAAGGAATCCAAAGACTAACAGGAAGTTACCTTCAAGAAATACACAAACACACACACACACACACACACACACACACACACACACGGAGCAGCTATGGAGGATAAAACAGCAGAGCATAGTAATCCATGCTCTGCAAACCAGACTGCCTGGGTTCAAATTTCAGCTCTGCCATTTATTAGGTATGCAGCTTCAAGCAAATAAGTTAACTTTCCTGTGCTACAATGTTCCCATCTGTAAAGCGGGTATAGGAGAGTGCCCACTTAAAAAAACACTTTAGGTGCCAGGCACCATGCCAGATGTTTTCTATTTATCAGCTCATGAAGTCCAGCACATGGACCACTGGTACCCAGAGGTGTCCTAGAAGTGTGTCCGTCATCGTCGTCTTCAATATTATTATTTACTTTTGGCACTGAAGGAGTCACATTATCACTTGACATTATACATGCCATGGACTCTTACAACATAACGAATCAGCCTTCCCCTTGTCACTGGCCCCTCCCATTTATGACATCTTGCGAGGTCCCTTAGGAAATGGGAGGTAACCACATCTGTTGGGCAATGACAACATTCAGCTTCACAGCAAGTTTCTTCTCTTCCCGAAGGACAGGCGGAGAGGACGCTATTTCTCAGAGTTGCCAGTGGGTCATGACAATGAATGGTCATTGGCTGATATCAGCTATCGGTTGTTAGTTTTTGTGGGGTATTTTCCCTTTAAAAATACCTACCTCGTAAGAACTCATACAGGTGACCACTGTGCTAATCAATCTCTCGTGCCTTTTCTTTCTCGATGCTCTGCACCTTTCTCTCCTACAAAGAAATGGAATTTAGCTGGATTTCTCCAACAGGTAAAGGAAGAGGGCAGCTGTTTGCTTTGAGGTAAGGAAAGATGAAAGATGAGGGTGCTGAGGGCCAGTTTACTTGAAGGACAGAGATATTAGCTCTCTAATCCTGCTCCCAGGAACTCCAAGTTCAGTGAATGCCCCCCACCCAGGCCATCCTGCGGGAGGGGGAGAAGGTTGGCTGCTTAAGTAATTCCTTCAACTGACATCACCTACCCAAAGGCTAACAGTGGAATCGCTTTGCAAGTGTCCAATCACTGGCTGTCTCCAGGCAACTATTGGGTGAACTGCTTTTTTTAATCACTCTTAAAAAAAACACTCATGGCTTCCTGTCAGGGCAGCAACAGCATCTATTTTCTCTGCCACACAGAGTCCAAGTGCCAATCAGGTGATTGTAGCTGGGCTCAGACTCACTGAGCAATCCCTCGGGCTATGGGTACTGTGGCTGTGGGGCCCTGGCAGGAGGCAGATTGAGTAAAATTGAAAGGTACAGGAAAATGGCCTTGGCCACAGAAGCCCTGGGGCTTATCAAAGGAGCAGATCCCACAGAACAAAGTATTCATTACAGTGAACATGACAACTCTTCTGAGAGAGTAGAGTGCTCAGGGCAGGCGTGCACAGAGAAGGAAAGGACTCATGTGGTTACAGGAGTTGGGGAGTATGCCATCCAGGCAACTGGGTCTCTTCATTTCTATTCCTCCATTCTGCTTCCTGGAAAGGTGATGTGATGATGACTTTCTTGCAGCCACATTGGGTCATGAGGAGAAAGTTGACAATTTATGGGACTTCCAAATGGCATAAGACTTAGGCAGTTTTCCAAATCAGAGGACATCTGTGAGTCACTTCCCAAAATCTTGTACAAAATGACTGCTCTCCCACTGAAAAGCAGGCAGGTTTCTTGCAGCCTCTTCTCATCACCAGGGGTAAAACAGCCTTCACAGCCTCCATTTTGCCAAGGTTTTTTAATCCCCAAATCTAGGCTCAACCATAAATCCCAAAGTCTTCTGAGCCATTTCTCCTAGATGAGGACTTTTTACTCCTCTATGTCTTGAGTGTAGATGATTCCATTAGACAACCTCACAAACTTAAGTGGCCAACAGAATATTCAAGAAGGCTGGGGACGAGACCCAGTGGTAGAGCATTTGCCTAGCATGTGCAAGGCCTGGGTTCCATCCTCAGGGAAAAAAAACAATTCAAGAACTGCTACTCAGCTCCCTAACTTCATTCCCCAAATCTTCCCCCACATACCTTCACCGTACAAGCATGCTTTCCTTTTGTTTTATTTCTTTTCTTGAGCTATGTAGCTCAGACTGGTCCAGAACTTACTACATAGCCCATATTGGCCTCCATCTTTTCATCCTCCTGTCTCAGCCTTCTGAGGACTGGGATTACAGGTGTACCACAACCAGTTTATACCTGGAGAACTTAAAGAATGTTTCTGTTCTACCTTTTTTTCAAAGCATAACCGTAATAAAAGCATGTGTTGAGTGCACACTCAAGCCATTTTCTCCATAAATATGCATCAATCTAATTCTTCTGCTTAGAATCTTTCAACAGTCTTGGCTTAAATATTACTTTCACTACAAATCCTTGTCTGGGCGGACACTGGTGGCTCACACCTGCAATCCTAGCTACTTGGGAGGCTGAGATTGAGAAGATCGAGGTTTGAGGCCAGCCCAGACAAATAGTTACAGAGACCCCCCCACCCCCTGCCCGTCTCCAAAATAACCAGAGGAAAATGGACTGGAGGTGTGGCTCAAGCAGTAGCAAACCTGCTTTGCAAGTGGGAAGCCCTAAACTCAAACCCCAATCTCACCCCCCAAAAAAAAAATCTTTATCTGTCTAAGGAACACTTTTATCTTAGGACCATCCCTCCTTCTTTGCCTTCTTTTGAGACAAAATCTCACCATGTAGCCCACGCTGGCCTCAAACCTGAGATCCTCCTGCTTCAGCCTCCTGAGTGCCAGAATTACAGGACTGCACCACTACTTCTGACCTGTTCTTTGTCTTTATCATCTATTTTCTAACTTGTAGTTATGTGTTTGTTGTTTACTCGCTCATTGTGGATCTTATGAGGGCAGGAGCTATGTTTATTGTGCTCATCACCTAACTTTGGCTCCTGGCACTAGTTCTGGCACATCACCAGACCATGGTACACACGTTTCAGGAGAGGAATTTTTACAGCACACTGTCACATATTAACACTTGCTTTTACCATGTTTACAATGTAGAACACTTACCAGTGAGTGACTGCCAGGCATTGCAAACAATTATTTTTACATTTCATAAGCCATTTGAGTAGGCCTTCATTCAATTTCAATTAGAATAAAATATTCAATTAAAATAATTGTTTGAATTACCATGTGTTAGAAATGTTTCTTAGGAGAAGAAAAGATAGTAATTACTCATCACCATAAGTACAACTTCACTTCCTCACTTGGTACAGACCCACTTGGTAAAGAACAAGAGTAAGGATTTTTTTTTTTTAAGCTTATGGTCATGGAAATGAAAACTCCAGAAGCCCTTCTCCCCTTGACCTTTATTCAGAAAGCAAGTGCAGGCTGGGTGTGGTGGCTCACACTAATAATCCCAGCTACTCAGGAGGCAGAGATATTGAGAGAATAACAGTTTCAGGCCAACCAAGGGCAAAAAAGTTAACAAGACCCCATGTCAACAAATAAAAAGCTGGGTGTGGTGACACACACTTGTAACTTGTCACTTCTCAGCTATGCAAGAAGCATAAATAGGAGAATCACAGTCCAGGCCAGTTCAGGCATAAATGCTAGATATTTGAAAAATGGTTATAGCAGAAAGGGCTGGAGATGTGGCTCAAGTGGTACAGTGCCTGCTTGGCAATCATAAGGCCCTGAGTTCAAACCCCAGTACTGCAAAAAAAATAAGAAAAGCAAGCACAGGTGTATTCTTACATGGCCTCTTAAGCCCTATTTAGGGGTAGATGGGTGGGGTCTGTCCCTAACTTCTAAGGTTGACCTGGAGGCCAGGTAGCATCCCACCTTAGCTGCACCAGTATAACCATGGCAACACAGAGCTTTGCCAGCCTGACCAAGAGTTCATTCTTAAAGGACTCAGCACAGATACAGAAATAGCAGTTCTGCAAACAGTGTAAGTTTTGTGGGAAAGAGAGATGGGTCAAGGTGTTCCTTAGCTGCATGGTACACGACCAAGTCACTTTGCTTCCTCCCTGATACCAAAGGATTTGACGGCTACCCAACAGGGTGAAGTGCGTGGGGACGTCTCTGTGGAAGTGTTGTTTTCAGTATTGCAAAGATGGAATTTTTCCACAGCAGACTTGAATTCCATGACATCAATGCTCCTTGCAGAGATAGAACATCTCAGGTCCAGATGGGAGCCTCGCCAGTACTGTCAGTCATTCTTTTTTTTTTTAAAGAACTATTATTTCCCCTGTATTATTAGTAACCCTCTAGTTTCAGCTATTTTTATATTTCTCAGTCACTCAAAAACAAAGTTCTATTAACCTTTCCTTTCCTCATTTAACTGTACTGACATTATCCTTTATTCCACCCTACCCTTCCCCCACACAAAGGTCACATCACTACCATCCTTTGCTTCAAATGCAAACACACACATCCTTAAGAGCACATGAGGGGACAATATCATAAAATTGTATTGCATATTTTTCAAAATCATAGCACAATGAATTGGGCTTAAAAAGTAAAAATGGTTCCACTGAGAGTAGTCAAAAATCAGTCAGGTGTGGTGGTGCATACCTGCAATCCCAGGACTCCAGAGGCAGGAAAATAGGGAGTTCAAGGCCAGCCTGGGATATGTAGTAAGACACTATGTCCACATACACACAAAAATTAGCCAATGTTAATTGACTCAGTCCTACAATGAAAACTCAAGGCTATAATGCAGCGATGTGGTCAGACAAGATATCAGCCATAGAGATGCCAGCCATAAACCAAACTCCCCAGGAGTGTGAGAGCTGCCTATCAGGCCCTTTGGCTCTTTAGGGTGGGACCTCAACCCCTGCCAGAGATGCTGTCAATCTCCTCTCTCAGAAGAAGCCACCTCTTAGCCAAATGTGTTTTCACCATTGCCAGAAGGGAGCATTCTCAGGTGAGGATGAGAGAGCTGTGGTAAAGCTCCAACAGCACACGAACACATCAGCGCTGACAGGAGACATCCCTCCAAACCTCTATTTGAAGAACAGACCACACAGGCATTTGTTCTTCACTCAAACTCTCTAGGGAATGAGACGGTGTGGAATAATGCACCTTTTCCGTGAGCAAATGTTAAATGACCAAGGGTGGACAAGACATCCCTTCACGCCCCCCACAGACTGGGCTTTGGAGACGAAACTGTAAGGAGAACCATGGTCCCTCATTTCATAAGCAAAATATTCCAGAATACCTGTCCTCAGAAGAAATGATAAGGGCACAGCGTTTGGACAACTTGCATGAGGTCCTGGATCCAAGCCCCAGCACTACACCAATCAAATCACCAACCAATCACTTTTTAAGAGAAAAGAAATCTTAGGATAATGAACCAGCAAGCTTAGATTTAACCACTACCTACTTACTTACCAGCCAGCCATCTGCCCTCACCTCAGTGGAGGGGCTGGGCATTCCAGCAGTCCCAGCAGGAATAAGCAGTGCATTCTGGCCACTCTGAGCTGCAGGCCACCCTACCACTCAGCTCCACCATTGAAATGGTAGGTCTGAAGTTATCAAGCAAAGAAGGGGAGCCAGATTCTGCTTGTCTGCTGGTCTCAGTGGTGCCACCTACTAGGGAACATTGGAGCAACCTGTCCAAATAAGGACACTCCGTGTCCTGCACAAGAAGGGTCTAATGAGCCACAGCTTCTGAACCACATCCTGTCCCCCCATGGGAGATGACAGGGCAGAAGAGAACACTGTATTGTCACAGGAATAAGGAACAAGCACTGCTTTACAGGCTCCACAGGGTCCCAAATGAGGGAGGCAA